GAATAATGATAATTTATGCGTAATAATTTATGTATGCGTACGAATAAAGCATGCTCTTCATACACATATGCGTTGTAAAACTTAACCATAAAAAGCTACTCTCGTCAGAATAACTACAGATTTTCTTCCTCATGCTACTTCAAAATAATAAGACTGTCGGGGGGATCTCTCAGATTTGTCGATGTCGTTTTGCGGCGCGATGACGGCGTTGAGCACCTTCAACATCCGCAGCTGCACTGCCACCAGCTTTGGCTGCGTCCAGTGGTGGCGCTTCCACGGTCAGCGATGATCGTGGTGGACAAGGACAGTATGCAGCGTCGCTGCCCGGTATTCCACCCTTACCCCCCTGAAACTTCTTCAAGATAACATTTCATTATCATTTTTTGTCTAAATCCATCTCAGATTCACACCGCTAAACTGAGCATTCTTAATTGCTTTTGAAGATGCTGACAGAGCAGGAAACGGCAGACTGCTTCATAATACCCATAGGAGGGATTTGAACAGTCAAGGAAAAAGCATAATCTGAGTCCAGATGCGTGGAATCTGTCCCAATAAGCCGCGAAATTTATCGAGAGAAAAGCAAATTTTGGTCAGCGAGACACTAAATTCACAAATGTCACTTACTGTTTGCTGTATGTGGCAGTAATAGGTCAGGTTACTAGTGATGCTGACCGGATGCGGATATCCCAGGCCCTTTGATCCTGGGCTGCACGCTTACAAAACTTAATTCCAAAATGCAAAATGAAATAAACGTACAGTTCCGGGTTCGCCAGCAGCACCGGCTGGTCCTGGCTGACCAGGTGGTCCAGGTGGCCCAGCTGGTCCCTCTGGTCCTGGTCCAGCTGCTTCACCTGGCGGTCCATCTTCTCCTGGTGGTCCTGGAGGTCCTGGCGGTCCCTTCGGTCCTGGTTCTCCTCCTCCACCAGCTCCTCCTGCTCCGCCTGGTCCTGGTTCACCAGCTGGTCCTGGTGGTCCTGAAAACAAGACAAAAAATATTTATGAAAGCAATGAAGTAAAAGTTTTAAAATCCAAAGTCCATTCATTTTAACTGTTGTTTAGTGAATTTAGTTTGTAAAATTGTATCAAACAAATTTGGATTTGTTGGGATTGGGCGAAAAAATAGGATTAAGCTGGCCACTTGACCATCACCGCGATTTAAACAGATTTTAATTTTTTTGTTATGAATTAATTGAAAGTAGGTAAAAATACATGAGTTCAAGTCCATACCATCTGGTCCTGCATCACCCGGTGGTCCAGGTGGTCCGGGCGGTCCCTGTCCGCCACCTCCTTCCGCCGCACCTCCTGATCCGGCAGGTCCAGCTGGACCAGGTGGTCCATCGGGTCCTGGTGGTCCTGGTGGCCCGGCTGGACATGCAATGCAGCCGCCTTTGGCACCTTCACCCGTTGATACGCCAATACCGTCTGGTCCTGGGCGACCGTCTTGCCCTTTATCACCAGGTTCTGAAACAAACAATAATGAAATTTTGCGTTATAGCTATTACAGTTCCAAAAAAACCATCATTTAAACAGTAATTTTATTAATTTCGTAATTTTTCCTTTTATCAGTTTTTTCGCCCGCTTTCAAACAAAATACGCGATTTCACGATCACTTAAGCACTAATTTTTTAATTCATTGATTTTTGTTAATCGTTTAATTAGTTTCAAAAAATATACTAATTTTTTCCAGTTTTTGAAGATGTTTCACCTCCCAAATTGGCATCTTACTAATTTGTACCGTAGGACTTTTTTTCAAATTTTAATTAAGAACAAATTAACTTCCACCGTAAAAATGATTAAATATCATGTTTACTAAAATGATGAAAAGGTAGAACCCGTTAGACGACAAATTTGCTTGAAGAAAGAAACGAAAAGATGACATTACCTCCGGGAAGGCCAGGCTCTCCAGGTGGTCCTGGCGGTCCTTCCGGGCATTTGGTTGCTTGCAGCGCACAGGCTGAAAGTTGATCATTTTGCTTCAGTAAGAGAAGAGTTAAAATGATAATTATGTTCCATCTAAATTTAATATGTTGTCTTTTTCTGCTCGTTTCATTTATTTTTTACCTAATTTTTTTTTATTTTGATTTCAATGAAATGTTCCCCTTAAATTTAATTTGATGCCTTTTTCTACTTGCTTCATTTATTTTTACTTAATTTTTTTATTTTACTTTGATTCCACAAGAATGAGTGAAACCTACGCCAATTATGTC